TGGGGTCGTGGGGGCATTTCCCTGCATGGGACAGGCACCCTGGGGTGCCCTCTGCTCACACCTCTGCCCCGTGGGAGAGGCTCCTGCTCGGGATGTGGCTCCAGTGGGACAGGCAGGAGGGATACAGGGCAGGATGGGGAGGTGGGATGGGCTGGGAAGAGGTGGTGGGTGATGGGATGGGCACCATTACCCAGCTCCAGTCTCCAGATCGGGTGTCTCTGCCCACAGGAGGCGTATGAGTCAGCTGTGGAGTATTTCGGGGAGAACCCCAAGACCAGTCCCCCCACCACCTTCTTCCCCATGTTCATGCGTTTCATCAGAGCCTACAAGGTAGGAGTGGGCATGGGGTTCTCTGTTTCTGAGGGCTGGGAGGAGGTCTGGGGCACCTGACCCCACTTTGGAGCAATCAGCAGAAGTCACAGGCAAGGCTGGGGCTCGTGGGGCTCAGAAATGCCTTTGGGATGGTCAGATTTTGGAATTGTGTTGGGGTGAGCTGGGGGCTGTGAGGGGAGGAAGGAAGGGGGCTGCAGTCCTGGACTCCCCTGCTCAGCACACCCTTCCTGCCCCTCTCCCAAGAAAGCAGAGCAGGACATTGAGCTGTGGAAGAAACAAGAGGCCGCAGCCAAAGAGGCAGGAGCCGTCTCCCCTGGCAGCGAGCAGCAGCCCGAGGTAAAGGTGCCCCCATGTTTGTGTCCTGGTGGGGCCCCAGCCCCAGCCCTGAGTGGTCCTGGGAGGGAGAGCTGGGTGAGAGGTGAAGGTGAGGGCTCCCCATCTCCTCTGGGGTGTGATCACATCACTCAAGCACTCTGTCCCCTCCCCAGCTGCCTATCCAGAAGGCCAGGAGGCAGCAGATGGACATGATTGCTGAGCTGAAGAGGAAGCAGATGGTGAAGGAGCCACTCATCTACGAAGGCAAAGACGGGGCCATCGAGGATATAATTTCAGGTGAGAGACGATTTCAGGTGAGCAGCCAGGTGTCCCCACATCACAGACCCCAGCTGGGGGCTGCAGGGGCTGGCACAGGAGCTGGAGAATCGCCAAGCCCCATCACAGGGATCAGACCTACCTTCACATCCCACATGGCAAAGCTGCCGAGTGCTCCCTCCCCTGTCTCATATCTCTTCCTCCTCTTCTGCTTCTTCCTCCTCTCTCCTCCTCCTGCTCCTTCTCGCTGTCTCTGGATCGCTCTGCTCAGCTCTCAAAACTGTCCCTTTCACGGCTCGGACGGGCAAACGCTCGTCCCGGCTCTTCTGCGACGTGGGCTTCAACGAGGAGAGTCCTCTGTAGGTAACGTGGGGCAGCGGGGCCGGCGCAGGCGGGCGGGGGCTGCCGGGCTTCCCCCGTCCCCGCCGGGACCCGGGGGCACCGGGATCAGCCCCGGTGCGGTGCTGGGCTCCGGGAGC